AATTTGGGCTATAATGGTTGTATTGATGTATAGCAACTTGAAATGCTCCCAAAAATGGCACTACAGCATGTAAAAATATAATATAAGCTCTGGCGGACTTGGTTCTATGGTAGGTCTTAAAGGGTTAAAAAGCTTCCATTTTTTAATAACCTAAATTTTGGAGTGATGTAGAACACTTGACATGGAAGATCTTTGATCAAGATCTGAGTCCAAAACAATGTGTTATTAAAGCAAATTTAATCCAGTTTTTAAAATTCTTGCATTAACCATTTTTTAAATCATACAGATTTAAACTCATGAAATGATTGTAAAACTTTTAAAGTGTATTAATTATTTTGATTGTGCAGTCTCTGGCTTATATGCTGTTTACCAAATTAGAAAGTAGAAAGACTGAAAGCTGCTTTTTTCTTCACTTCAACAGTGAAAGCAGCTCTGGGACTAGGTCGACATCCCACCGGCCCTTGACTCTCTGCCTTCACAAGCGGGATTTCCTTCCTGGACAATGGATTGTGGACAACATCATGAATGCTATCGAACGCAGTCGGAGAACTGTCTTCATCCTCTCCGAGAATTTTGTGCAGTCTGACTGGTGCCGCTATGAGCTTGACTTCTCTCACTTCTGGCTTTTTGATGGTCATGCCACTGGTGAGGCGGCCATTCTGATCCTACTAGAGCCATTGTCCAAGGATGATGTCCCCAAACGCTTCTACAAACTGCGCAAACTGATGAGTTCCACCACCTACCTAGAGTGGCCACAGGAGGAAGAGAAGAGGGAGGAGTTCTGGAGGAGTCTGCGCAATGCTTTGAGAGGAAACGATAACTAAAAGAACAGAATATAATAAAGAATGAGAAGAAAAAGAAAGAGTTGGACAATAAGGGATACAAGAGAGGGATAAATAAAGTCAAAGTAAAGCTGTAGCATTTTAATTCACTGATATCCAAGTCATCATTACTGAAAATCACAACTCTAGCTCCAAACCCCAAATTGATTCCTGTGTTTTGGAGAAAAGCAAAATGAACGGGGTTGTGGTTGTTACCAGTTTCTGTCAGTCCAAGGAGGTGGCCTCCTCCACCAACTAGGACATCATTGTCACCAGGGATGGGCATTGATAACAATTTAGCAATCCCAATTCTTGTTTCACTTATCAATCTCATTGTCTCCAATGTGAGAGTCACCACCATCTCTAAGCAGCATATCAAAGAAATTAAAATCATACTAATTAATTACATGCTGTATGCTCAAATGTTTGTACATGTCAGAGGCATTTTCCCTCTTTGTTGTGATCAGTTTTGGGATCATTACAAATAGATTGTATTCAGTTAGATGAAAAATTACACTAATATGAAAAAAAAGTCTATTAACATTGCTAACAAAAAGTCCTCTATCAGTGTACTTTCAACCAAAAGGCAAATAACCAAACCACATGAACATCTAATAAAAGATATAAATACTGAAACACTGATCTAACATTATTGTCGTCTTGATTGACGGACCATTTGATTTTACACTTTTACCTGAATGTGGCTCCTTTTTTTGAAAAAACTTCCTTATATCCATTATGAACCTGGCTGTCTCTCTGTACACACACACACACACACACACACACACACAACAGGAGTTATAAGGTTAATGGGCATTCAGTCAGTTAGTATCCATTTCAAACAGGACAGTGGTAACCAACAGTAGGCTGCGGACAATTTAAAGTTTTAGATTTTAAATAGGCTGTATACATTTCAATGGGAGCAACAGGACGGTCATATGTCACTGATTTTACTACAGAGCAGGACTATATAAAGAGTAACTGAAGGTTAAATGCAGCTAATATGTCCTGTTTTAAGCCAGGCACTTACACCTCCGCTCCACTGCGTCTCAGCCACCATCGCTCTGGCAGCAAGAGCGCTAGAGCCAGAGTAGGGGAGAGCTGGAACAAACCATTTTGGGAGGGGGGGTTATCTATACGTTTGTTGTTAAAATGTTACATCTCAAACAAGTACAGTACTGTATGCTTTTTATATTTTTAGTAGTGTGTCACACAAACAGCAAATATTGTCCAAAAAAAGTAAGAAATCTTTGGGGTGCACTGAATCAAAGCACCCCCTGAAAATCGCCCCTGGGCTAAAGCCCTAAACACCAACACAAATCCCTATCCTGATGACACATATAAGCTTTCTCTTAGAATTTAGGTATGAACACAAAGCAAACAGCACAAATCAAAGATGAAACCAGCACAAAGAGTCTTAAAGTGATCGCCTTAATGATTCTATTTTAGAAACATCAACAGGTGGTTTTTTTACCTGTTGAAGTTCAGCAGCAGCTGGCTTCACCGCAAATGACACCTCACTTTAGCATGGTCCTGAGCGTGGGTCAGCATTTACTCAGCTTTAACGTCACTCTGGGTTCTTGCTATCTTAGAGGTAGCATGCTGCCTGTGCAGGTGCATGGGATGAGCCAAAGTTGTGTTAACAGTATAATGCTGTTGTTTCTCTCCTGGAGAAGTCTCCAATTTACCATCGTGCTCTCATCATTGAATGCTATAAAAATAAAAGTAATGCCCACATTTCCACACTGTAAACTCCTCTGACATACAAACAGAAATCAGCTGACCGTAGAGAAAGTGCAAGATAAGCAGGATCAATAGGCAGGCAGACTAATGATTCAAAGGAATTGGTTTACAAGGAAACGGTTCTTGGTTCTCATCCCTAATTGCCACAATATTTGTCATTTCATCCTGCTGAAGCAGTGCTAGCAGTATTCTGTTTGAAGGTCAAAATTAAAGCAAAAGGCCACAAATAGATGGTGA